AGATTTGAAATGGTTATTAATATCGTCTAAACTTATCAGCCCATAACAATAAGAAATTGTTTTCTACTTTTCAGATTTTTTCCGTCAAAAATACTAAAGCAATAAAGTAACTCTCGTTGTCTGTACCGCAAAAGTAAAAGTCAGTGGTACTCGAACTGGTGCAATTACCACTAAAATTACTTTTCCCATCTAATGCGGCCTTACGAGAAATCCCAAACAAAATATCTGGAATGATGCAAAATGGAATACATACATAGCTAATTTGTATTGGTTATCAAATTAAGTGATAAAAAAAGTGAGATGCATACCTACTCCTCCAACTCCCGCAGCTGCTTGTCCCGCAGCTGCTTGTCCCGCAGCTGCTGCTCCTGCATTAGCTGCTGCTGCTGCATCTGCTGGTTGCGCAGGTGCTCCTGCATTTCTAGCTTGGTTTTGGTTGGCAGCTTGGCAATAAATGATAAAAGCAATATATACTATTAACCTTCCCATATCTAAAGTTATCTGTGCAATAATTTTGGTGTTTTCTAAAGATAACTTTTGCTTTATTGAGAAATAGCAGTCATTTTAAAAAGAATCTTAGTTAAACGCTTAATGACATTTTCTAAAATATTAGAAATGGGAAGTCAACAAGTAGTAGAAGTTTGAAAAGTTTCACATTTTATTAACCAATTTTTATATTATTTTACGGTCAATAGATTTTCGAACTGTGCATGAAGCGATTATGTTCCCGTTTGTTATAACTTTGAGTTTACGTCTTATTAACCGACAGGTGGATTACCATCTAATTAATTAATATTTTCAGAAATCGTTTTAATCAAAACCTGGCACACATATCTTTTGGAACCTTTTGGCGTTTGCAAAACATCTCTCAAATCCATCTCGTGTCATTCAGAAAAATAACAACCGCAAAAGACATTATTTAGTTTCAGTTTCCATTATTGAATTCAAGCTCTCACTTTATTTGACATAATAATGATCAAGTAAATGTCATTCGGCAGGGTGTACCGCTACCAGGATAGGTACTAGGCATGTTAATCTTACAGTTTATTGTAATGTGGTAAATTCCTGAACAATATGTCATTTAGATGAATAGGTTCTGAAGCAGTGTCGAGAAAGATCGAGATTAGCGCAAAATCTTCACTAACGAACACAATATCTGCGAACATTTTTTAAACACTAAAAGAAAAAAAGGATGCGGGATCATTAATGGTTGAAAACCTAACAACAGCGCGTTTATACTTCCGCAACGGAATCTTGGACTATATCCTGCTCGATATTAGCGGATCAACGCTCTATTTTCCGCATTTCTAGAGTAGAACGGACGAAGAACTGATTTAGACAGACTGATAAGAACACGGTTTTGAATATCCAGTTTTACCTTTCAGCGACAACAATGTATTATCACTCTTTTTATAGGAATTAACTGTGTTCAATAAATATGTTATTTTGAACGTTCGGAACTAAATTCTGT